TGATGAGCTCTGTTTTCTGTGCGCATGACATTGAAGAGTACTCTCTTTTGGGTAAAAATTGGAAATGTGTGAAAGCACATGCCGATTTATTAAAATAGAAATAACAAGTATAACATAATATAAATTAATTATTTTACACAATTTAAACAAAAATCTTTACGAATAAAGTTTTTCTGTATAGCACAGAAAAGGTGGGGTGATAAAAACGCCACCTCGGAAACAAGTCTAAATAGTACATGCAAAATCACAGAGAGAAAGCGAGGGAGGGAAGGGTGGATTTTTCGATAAATTTCACCTGGCGACGGCCACCTGCTGAATGATATGTGATTTGTTTGTGCATAACCTATAAGGCTAATACCTGTGCACGTGAATCACACTACGTGCATGTGAACAAAATGCAAATAACTGTAGCTAACATCCTGTTTGCTCTTGTAGCGTCCAAATGAACCTTGGACTCCATGACCTTAGCACGCGGAATTCTTTGAGTAAAAGTAACAAACTTTCCCAGTATTTTTTTATATGTTAAAAGTGTGTCCCACCCTCTCTTTGTTTCCCCTTGATTAACATAACTCTTATTTACAATTTAAACTACAAAATAACCCGCGGAAGCAATAAAATTATTATTCGCTTTTGCAAATAACTCCTTTATTTCTTTCATAAAAAAAAACAACACAATAATGCTGCAGTATGAAAATGTGTAAAAGCTGTAGCAAGATATCTGTCATGATTCATTCTTGAAATTTGGTCTTAGCGGCTAATGGGGTTGCACCGTATTGTTCAATAAGAATTTTTAAGTCACAACAAATTTTATGAACAAGATTGAAAACCAGACATTTGGTTTGTTTACCACAATATGATTTTCTATTATAAATTTTACAAAATTCATTGTAAGTATTTTGTTTCGAGGTTCTATCGTTGAATGTAGATAATAATTTTTTTTTGATTTGATAGATGGAAGTTCTGCTTTGATATGTTAACGGCATCTGTTAATGTATAGATAACGTTAAAATGTTTTGTGAAAGGAATATATTTCAATCAAAACCATAAAACTCATTAAATATCTTTCCTATTGTTCTTGTAATTTTTCTCAAATTTTTCCTAACCAATTTGAAATAGCCTGTTGATAATTTTTTTAGAAAATTTTCAATTAGGTACAGGTCTGAATTTGAATGTGGATTATCAACAGCAAAGTTGAGCCTTGCAATTTAATCTCACTCATTACCAATATCGTAGATGTACTGACATTTATGTAAAGATGGATGATATTTTGACGCCTTATTGACTGTGTTATGTAATTTTATAAAACAGTTTCGGCGTACAAGTCATTCTGATAATTTAAAATATTAGCATGGTCTGTTCCTATTTTTCTTTGAAATCGTTGAATAGTTGCTGAAATTAATTTCATTGTATGTTTTTAAAAACTTAAATAAATGCAAAAAAAAGTTTAATTTATAAAAAGAAAACAATATGCGCGTTGATATAAAGCTATTTGATAAGTTTATTTACTTTTACTATTTACTTTTCAACCTTAAATTCATGTAAATATTTTAAATCATTAACTCAGATTACTATAATTTTTTAAAAACTTTACGCAAATTAATACAAAACGGACCAAAGTCATCCTCAAATAAACGTCGTTCACTCTTACAACTGGCATTGTTTTACATTGCCTGCTTTGTGCTCACATCCCATTTTCTGTCTTCCATATTTATCTGTGATCATTACTTTAATGAAGCCAGTGTGTGAATATTTCCAAGTGCCAAAAGCAATAATTCTTTCTTTGGGGCCTGATAATACAGTATTCACAGCTTGAAATGATTCCAGACCAGACTTGTTCCACTCGATGGAGTACAGCCCATCAAGTTCAAACTCTGCTTTCCAATGGTATGTCAGATCTTGAACAGATTTCATGAGGTTAATTGTAATTTCCTCATTTGGTGGAACATGAACTGTGACTACTGTTTCATCTGTAACTGTTTTTTCTGTTGTATTTATTGCTCCCGTACTCAAAGATTGTGCTTTAGATATTTGTGCAAAAAATATAGTTTTTATCTCTGGAAGGGAAATTTCTTCACCAGATACTTTAAACGCTGTACCAAGTGCTACCGCTGAAGAGGCTCCAACAATGGTGGAAAGGGTGTATGATTCAGTTGTTGATATCAAAAGCTGTTTTTGACAATCATATCTTACCTTGAAGCGTGAGCAAACAACTGGATAGAAATAGGGAACTGACTGAAGTTTAAAAGCATTGTTTGGCGTCTTATTTTTTAGATTGAAGTTTTTTGCGTTTAATTTTAACGTTTTCACATTTGAAGAATCTGATAAAGTGATGCATTTAAAAGTGCTGGCTGTCATTGATTTGTCCATTGGATTTATGGAGCATTTTTTTAAGTTCCCGTTTTTATCTTTCAATCTTACTACCAGCGTTGGGCCAACGTATTTTCCCATTTTACAGCAGTAGTAGTTTTCAAGGCAGAACAAATTGTTACATTTATTTCTATACAAGCCAGTCATGTAATAATTTGATGGACAACGACTCCATCCTCTAAAGTCAAATGATCGTCCGACGTCCTTTTGCTGGCAGTGTCCCCACTGTTTTACTTGCGTTTTAGGCCGACAGCATAAAGCTTTTTCAATATTGGACAATGTATTTCCAGATCATCTGTAGAGCCCAGCCATGTAATAACCATTATTACAATACACCCAACCCTTCCTGTCGAATTCCACCCCCCAATCATGATGATAACAATCGCGATCTTTTGAAGAGGAATATAGATATCCAGGAGCATCAAAACAGTCTACTTGTTCTATATTATAAATTGGATCAGACATGGTGCGTGTATTTCTGTACATTCCAGTCATGTATCTTCCATGTCCACATGTTGACCATCCTCTTGAATCAAAGCTACTTCCCCAGTTATCGTAATGTTGTCGATGAGTAGGCTTTTGAACGAGACCTTCCATATCTGTTCTGTAAGCTGTGTTGTTCTGCCATTTCATAGACAATCTTTGAAGAACAAGTTTTGCCACGTTGATGTCGCCAACAACGCTAACAGAATATGCATTTCGACCACCACAGCAACTTCTAGGACTGTGACAAGTCGACCATGATCGACATGAAGTTTTGCAAAAAGAGTCATTGACATTTTTCCCTTCAGGATAGACATTTCCGCAAGAGCACAGATTTCCTTTTGTTGCTGCAATTATGAATTCTGAGATTTGCACCAAAATTGACATTTGTAGTTGGAATTGTAGCGTCCAAAGTTTCTGATGGTAATTCTTCCTTGAAGGGATGAAAAACATCCATTGACGTCATAGGAAAGTGCAGTTGATGTTGACATTGTTGAATGCAACAAGACTGTTGCTAATAGAAAACAATTAAACAGAACCATGTCCTACAAACAAAAAAATTGTTAAGCGATCAGTTATCTATACTGGAATAATAAATTTCAATTGTTATATTTTTCAAATTATCAGCGGGCGGAATTATGAACTTTTCTGAAATGTGATTGGCTGCATTAGCGGACGGTTTTTTATGATGTCTTGACCTGGGTCCGTTGTCCTATACGGCTTAATACTTGTACAAAAGCTGTTTTGCTTTGTTACGTTTTGTTTTTTTCATTTCATTTTTTGTAAAGGAAATTGTAAGCCATTATGATTGTAATAAACTATTTTAAATACATTTTGAGTTCTCAAAAAACGAAGAGCAGCAAAATTTAATTGTTTACTTGGCCGCCCTTATTTAATTTGACTGAGCAATCTAATAATATTGCTACCTTTAGTAAAAATTAAATACGTTATTTTTTAGGTCTGTCCGGATGGAAAAATATTTCCCTTTTCCTAAAAATTATTATTTTAAGCACATATTGAAAAAATGAATCAAATGTCATGTTGGATTAATACAACACAGTTTAAGTTCATGCTTTGTATTTACACTAGACAATGTCGAAGTAAATTTTACGTACCATCGTAGGATTGAATAAATACAGTTCAAAACGCATTAGCTTTCAGAGTAATACTTGTTTTACCATGGGACTTTTGTGTATGTAATGTAGCATAGGTGTACAGAGACAATCCCAATTGAGGGGTCTTGTTCATTTTCCGCAAAAAAATGCACCTAATTTTAATAGAAGTTAAGTAAATAAATTTTTTCACGAACTAAAATTGTTTTTTCAAAACATTTAAAAATACATGATAGCTTTTAAGAACATGCAAATTTTGGGCACTTTTTGAATGGGAATGGAAGAAGGAAGGCAAGTTTTCAAAAAGTTCAAATACGTAATGGTTTCAAAAGTTTTTTTCTAATTTTCCATGACGAGTTTGATAAAAAAAGGAATGAAATGTTTTTTAGGTATTTCTTACCTTTTTTCATCTATTTAATGTGTTATATGTCAGAAAAATAAGAAATCAGCATTTTGATCGAGAACTAAAGCTCTCAAGTCGTGTAAACATTTTGCAGACAAAAACAATAATCGTCAACATCTTCAAATGACTTTGTCATAGCTTATTTTCAGAAAAAGAACGTGTCATTAAAATCCTCTATACAACAATCGTAAAGTTTAAGAACACGACATATTTAAAGTTCTCCACACGTATTACTAAAATATTGTTGTATAGGCCATTTTTCTATATTTGCACAATCGACGGACACAACTCGCTATATAACTTTAGGTACAACACAGGAGCGTAAGCCCGCAAGTTTGGTCGTGTTATGTAAATTTTTCTGTGTTCACTCAGTGTAAAAACACTAGATTTCTAAAGAAATGCTAAATGATAATGGTCTTAAATTTATATAGCACGACCAAATTAGCGGGCTGGCTACGCCAATGATAACACATATACCTAAAAAATTACTCCATATCCGCCAAATTGGAGCTTCGTTTTATCGTATGGCTTTTGCATTGTAGTTATCGTTCCAGTGTTTTATAAAAGCTCATTGGTGGTGACTCCTAGTCGTATAGTCGTATTCTTACTAAAGCTCATATCTATTTAATCAAAACATGAAGTCAAATTCGGCAAATAAAAGTAGCTACAGCTATTTTTTCTGTTTACAGCACGTTGATAAGTTTTTCGAAAAAGCACAAATTAATACAAATGTAATCTTTTGGGACCTCTCCTCTGACGTTCAACTACTTGACTAAACAATTGACTAAAAAATATCTTTGAGTAAAAAATATCTTTAATCATTCGTTGAAAATATATCGTAACTTCCCTATTTTATTAGGCATTTCAACTAATAATCGTCAAGGAACAGGATGGAAACATGTTTCTGGTAAATTAAAATACATCAGTTGTGGTGCATTGGGATGCTGGGGTGTAAATGTTAATGACCGAATTTTTTACCGTTCCGGGGTATCTGCGCAAAATTGTGCTGGAACAAGTTGGACTCATATCGGAGGAAGTCTTAAGCAAATCGAGGTATGTCGATAATTCAGTTCTCGCTTAAAGGTAAAAGACCATGCTGCACAAATTTTATTTTTTGTTTTTGAAAAACAACCCAACTTTTATGAAATTTAAGCGCGCAGTTTAAATTACAAAACAGTGGTGACTGATGTTAGTAACTCTAAAATAAACACCATCAGCCAAATAGGTTTTTCTAAAAATTTCGCTGCAAGTTGTGCTAGACGTACCGCATTTAGATTAGTGGTTATTGTAATAACATTAGCTTCATGATGATCGTTCCACTTTAGGTTTTAATCTTTAGAAAATAAAAACTCCCTTTGCCAAAATTTTTAGATTCTTAACAATTAAGTTTATTGATAATAAACATCTACTGTGAAACAAATCACCATCATTTAAGTACTTTTGAAGCAAGCTGCAAAAAAATTTAAACAGTTCTTTGTCATATATTAAGACAAATACGCGGTAACAATTGTCTGTTTAAAGAACTGTTTCAAACTCAATTTAAGATAGTTATGATTTTAAAGATACAATGCGTTTCAGCAGACTTCTCATTTTGTGCAACGTCTCCTTTGATTAAAACCAAAAATCTCCTTTTATTTTTATTGCACTACAATATAATTGCACTAAGACAAAACATTTTAAGCTTTCTAGTTTTCGCTGACCATTGCAAACACACCACTCAAAGCATTATTTACTATTATTACCACGACCATGCAAGTCTATGTTTTACAACAAAAAGGTCTCTTTCAATTAAAAAAATGAGAAAAATGAAGTTTGCACTTATTATATATACAATGACAAAGAACGCTGGTATCTTCGATCTTTTTAAAAAAGTTTTATCAAGGTTCATCAAACGGGCACAAGCTACTCAGTTACAACTTGCAACAAGCATACTTCAATTCTCCTATCCAAAAGCTATTACCAATATACGAGCTAAAAATATTTTGATGAATTTTACATTAGATTTTAGTAGGCTACTGGCATAAATCCTGTGTGGGTTTTTATCGTAAAGTCTATTTTATTATTGTAAATCTAATTATTTTTATGTAGAAAACTATACATTTAAATTTGAATTATATATATTGACAATGTAATTCTTAAAAATAGCATATCACTATAACTACTAGGCACGCCACCTCACACACACTCAAGAAGCATACTATAAAATTAAACTATACATATTGATAATCTAATACATAAAATGGACCATGCATATAACTGCCTTCACTAGCCACCTCCAACACAATCTTCCCGCACACAGCAAACATATTAACCACGAAAGGGTAAATTAATTTAACATTGCCTGCCTAAATAACATTTTTTCTTTTGACTGGAAGGGACATCACTGGTAAGAAGTGAAAAAAAATTCAGTCCCAGACTCACTGCAATCATCATTAACAGTTCCTGAAACGATTTCAGTAACTTGAACAATCATTTAACTACCGCAAACTTGCTGAATGAGCATTATACAAATTTTATTTTCTTTATTTGTTATTATTTTCTTGTAGTGGTATTGTTTATTTTACAAATTGATCTCTAAATTAATAACTACAAAATTAGTGTTTTAATATTTTTTCTTTTTTAAGACTGGGGCAGCTGGTGATGTATATGGAGTAAAGAGTAACAACGTGGTCTACCGTCGAACTGGCATAACTACAGCATCTCCAATGGGCTCAGGTTGGATAGTTACTTTGTCGTATGCTTCATTTGTGACCACTGGCCTCAATAATAAGTATGTCTTGGTTAATGGAAAAATTTTTGAATCTCGAGGTTTGTATATAGCTCCTATGATTTCTAGTTGCAAGTATTTTTACCTTTCAATTAATTGAACATAATCAAAATACTTCTAAAAATACTATGAAATCTGTAATTCCCATTTCTGTGCATTCTAAACTTGGTAAAGAATGATATGCTAATAAATCATAAGAATTTTCAGAAGTAATAAAAGCAAAATAATTCACAAACTAAGCACTCAGTTTTGCTTTTGTGTAGCTATACGTATGTTTGAATTGTCGAATCTATTAATTATTTAAAATAAGGAAGATTGTATTCAAATGGATGCTATTTTTAAATTTAGTATTTTCTATAAAATTATGTTTGTCAGGTTAGCATTACAAGGTGTTCTCTCTCAGAGACGCAGCAACGTGGCTGAATTCGAAGTCATGAAATACCCAATTTTGATTTTCGATTATGTTTTCTTCCAGATCAAACGAAGCCCTTTCCTTGAAAAAAAAGAACATATTTGGCTGTGACGGAATGGAAAAATTTTGATTTAGTTTTGGCATTAAGTATCATTTATTTCTAATGTTTTCTGCGGTTTAGATAAGTAGTAATGTATACAGTACATGTAGTTTTCTCTATTTTTGATAAAAATATATAACGTACGGCAAGCAATCCATAGCAGTTCTTCATTTAATTTTTTGAAGTTATATGGCTTAATATACTCCTTATCTTTCCAAAAAAAATCAAAATATTTACAAATTAAAATAAGACAGACTTATACATAACATCTGCATGACGCCACAGTCAAACCACTGTTTCGAAAAATGCCAAAATTTGCATGATTAAGAAATCAAACTCACTGATGTGGTATTCCACAGGACAAATTATTAAAATTTTCTGGCGTGAAATAATCTCAAATGCGAAAAAAATTGCCAATTTCCCCAGCATTGATTGAAACTATTAAAGATGACTTCGTACACACAATGGCAACCAAATTCTTTACGTGCAGTCATGTTGACAAGAAACAGCAGTGGGAGAGAGGTTTTTGTCAATAAAAATAGGTTTGTATGCAATGCATCGACCAAGTGATTCACCAGTAATTTAAATGAAATAAAATCAGAATATTCAGTGTTGCAAATCATTGTTTTTGACGTCAGTGGGAGTGTAGAAATAATTAAACATAGCACACCAAAATAGACAAGCTAACTATTTATGCCAAAGAACATGCATTATCGAGTTGCAAAAAAATCATCAACATTCTTCTTCTCACTTTCAGCAGCGATGGAAATTGTTAATTCTTGATAGTGGCGGATTCAGAGTAAATCAAAATAAATTACTACAGCACATTTTGGCGTACATTTACATTTCTAAGCACCTTTGAGACAAATCTATGGGTAAAATTATGTTCGTTAGAAAATAAAAACCAATAGTGTTTTTTGCATGTAATGTGGATTTCAAATTGGGAGCTGTAATTTATTTTTAAGTACACTTGATCCGCCAATGGTTCTTGATGTGCAAGCTACGTCAGAGCCTCCATGTTTGATGATTCTTACAAATAATTGTTTTTATTTACAATACAAATGTCATACAACAAGGCAAACATTCAATTACTTTCTCATTCCCTGGGGAATGGTTGCACACTACCTATTGAGGTGAGCCAAATTCATTAAATTTATTTTCTAATTTACTGGTTTTTGTCAAATTTAATTGTTATTACGAAATATGCAATCTGATTATATAAATATATGCGTTTTTCAGGTTCCCAATCATCGATCTTCTACCGTCTATGACCATGCATAAGCTTAACAAGAACGTTAATTGGTTGGGTGTACGAATATTCATATATTCCTGAAAGTGAATTGAATTTCAAAAGAAATCAGTAGGGCACAACTGAATATATGAGTATACATCCCTCAATAAAAGTTGTAGTTACGCCTCTGTCCATGACTTTGTCGTTATTAAAACCTTAATGAGTGCATTACGTCATCAACATGGGATCAAATGCAGTTTAGCAGACACCTCATGTTGTTAATCAAAAGACAAGAAACGTACACAAGCTCAGAAAATATGCTTAGAAAGGCATGTATGAGCTTAGCTTTAGAAAAGTCGGTGATTTAAATTCAATTTTAAATCTCCTAACCTGAACCTAACCATAACCCTAACTCAAGCCTTAACTCATATTTCCAAACTTAACAATAAACCCATCGACAAAAACGTTGCTTTTGCTTTTTCCCGCGTTAAAAAGTTGAACATCGTTCTGCTGTAAGTGTTGTCATTGCTTTACATTTCCTCTATAAACTGTTATATGTGTCCATAATCTTCATGGTCACCACAAAAGGGCTACTAGTGTCTAGTAAACTGCATTCTAGGCAGAAAATATTAACTATTTTGACGTTTTGAATGTGCACCTTTTTCTGAGCAAATATGCAATGCATGGGGAATGTCCAGAGGACAAATACAATCTGGGGTGAAACTAGAACGTTAACTGGAGGTATATTTTCATATATTCAGTTTGCCCTGCTGATTTCTTTTTTTTGCGATGTTAATCTCAAAAAGAAATCAGCAGGGCAGAGCTAAACATATGAATATTCACCCCCACTCCCAATTAACGTTCTAGTTTCGTTCCTGAATTGATATTGAGAATTCTATTGATATTGAGAAGCATTTACGTTTTGCGCAAAAATTTAGCACAATAGCAGTCAATCAATTTCATTTAGAAACAATAAAAAAGTGCCAAAATGGCGTAATTTGGTCAGGAATATAACTAAACTTACGTCATAAAGATGTACAGGAAGGTTCTCCTGACTGTTGATTCATTGAACAATATTATGGGTAAAGCGTAAGATTAATAGAGACTTAGTACAAATGATTTGCCTTACTTACGTTTTGCTGGCAGGTAGATTTGGTTGAAGGCAGGAAGGTTGCTCATACTATTTTAAAAAATTAAGGGGATGAAAAGAAGGTAAAGTGCCAGCAAATGATTTTGGATGTAGAAATGGTGGCTAGTAAACAAAATGCCAACCATCGACTCTTAAGAATGCTTTCTTCATAAATTGCAATAAAATATCATGAACGATATTTAACAACTATTAACTGGCGAAGAACTTTTATTTCTTTTGGATATGATAAATCACTACATTTAATAATAATAATAACGATCATTTTGGTCAATGTTACGATCATTTGAACGACAGAGCGAACAATTTGCTAACGACTACATACGTTTTGCAAGCAACGTCAGACGCATACGCCAACACTTCTGGTTGAACCACAGCTGCAAGGATTTTGGTGTCGCTCCGGCAGGGCGTAGCATTAAGTTCCCGTTGATCACACAAGAGGCTATTCAGATTATCAAATCCACCAGCAGACGACTGATACGAGCACGGATTAACGACTGTCACATATTATCGATAAATCATCGTCTGTGCTGCTCATCCGTACGTGCAGATACTCCGCATTTTCTTGATTCTATTCAATTGTTCTGGTGTGTTCTGCAATCATTTTAGCAATGGATTCATTGATGCCAGCTTAAACAACAATGAGTAGAGCATAATACAACTTTACAAAAATGATTAAATTCTTGAACGTCGGTGCAAAGATCAACAAACGTCTCAAACTATCTATTGCTTTGACAACGTCTCGCTCAGCGTGTAGCAAATTCATATACGCCTACATATAAACGCAGGATACGTAAAAGCAGCAAATAATACAGTCAGTGTTTACATACTGGCTGTTTGTACGGCACTATTGTAAATTTCGTTAAAGTCCGATCTTCCGGGCTCAAAACCTGAATGTTTTTGTATGTGTCAGATAGTTGTTCATTCAAAGAATCAAGTTATTTTCTCATTTTCATCACATATCTGTGGTTAGGGCTAGAGTCAGGGTTTGGAAAGGGTTTGTATAAGTTTATCCGCCATAGTTGCGCCCGCAAAGGCGACTTGTTACATGGTTGCAGATAAAGAAAATGCATGCTAACTTGAATGAAACGAAAACTTGCGTATAAAATGCAAACAGTCGCATAAAATATAAACTCAAGTGTAAAATGAAAACTTAAAAAATAAAATTGATATGTACAATAGAAGTTTGAACGTAGAACATAATATTTGCGACGATACACTTAGATACACAGCAACACCAACCACATGTTGAACAAATTATTGCAAGTGTGCACGGAAGAATAAACATCTAGTAGCAACATAAGCGATCCCAAAAGTTCAAAACAACTTTCAGCAAACATTAATTCTTTTTGTACATGGCTTTCTTGTGTCCATTTAGTTTTGTTTAAATTTTCTTTTCTTACATTAAATGTTCATTTTAGCAGATCATTAGTCTTTTACACCAGCAACAAGCTCAATGTTTTACACGTCAAGTCCAGTCCATGTTTTATACAACATGCCATTGATATTATTATAGCTATATGTTTTCATATAACGTATTTACAACAAAATTTGAAGAAGATAAAGTTTATCTATTTTCTTTAATCATCTTTCTTCATCAATATTATCTTCTTCATCAACATTATCCTTTTATTCACTTTATCGTTTTTCCGTCACGACTTTACATCCGATGAAATATTTAAAATCATTCTCTTTCTTGCAAATTGACATAGCTACAGCCCTTTGTTAAGGCAAATGTAAGCATATATATGACTTCAGTAGAAGCTTTTCCCAATGAAATAACTTTAAACAGTTTTAAGTTCCAAGGTTCTCTTAGTTGATCATACATGTTTTCTTATGCTCAACATTGATTTTGAGTAAATTTAGAAGCCAATTTTAGAAGCTTGTCAATGGTTCGAAGATAGACGGAGACAATTTATTTCAAATTTAACAGAATACTAACACACGTTTAAATGAAATGCACGTTAGAATAGACCAATGAACATCCTTCAAATGGATGTGTTATGGTCAAAACTGTTTTATTTTGTAATAAATTAAGCAGGTGCTTTTCTTTTCGTTATTACTCACTTGATTAAGATCATTTGCATTTATTGTAGAATTGTTTTCTAACTTTACATGGATAAATATATTTTTGTCAAGCCAATGTGAAACGTCTTACATCAGTAATTCGAACTCTTTTCCAATTTTATAAGCCATGATCATTTTTTAACCGTATCGTTCTCTTCAATAAATATTAAAAATCTCTACAATATGTTTGTTTCATTAGTAGGCTATAGCATATTGCATAACCATTAACCAGTCAGAATTAAAAGATTGATTGAACATTGATGACTGAAATATAACGGTATGTAGTTTAAACAATAATGGATATATTTTAGCCAAATATTGCTTAAGACAGAAGATATCAATGATCAAGGAACATGTGTCATATGATAATTTACTGGAATAATCATTCGGTATTATCTTTTAACGTATTTCGGAAAAGCACCGACTAATTCGGATCAGTGGGGTAAGTTAAAATCATATTACAAACAGTACTTTTAAAAATCAAATTTTTTATTCAACTCTGGCATATTCTTTAGAATTTTATCTTCAATTGGATTTTTATTGCATTTTTGAAAGCTCCAGTGAAAAAATGATAAGATAATGATGTAAAAAGCCACGTTCAATTTTGTCATTTGCTGAATTAAATACGATTATGGCATAAGTTGAAACAGTTTTCGACTTATAATGGTAGAGTATGGCTTACTTCGATATTTTTAGTTTCCAAACAGC